TATCTATATCATATTATCTTTTGTCAGAATCTTTTCCAAGAATTGTCGACCAAGATGATTAGCACATCAAACAAAAACTGATGTATTTTTGTTACATACATCGTTTGCAATCGATACAGCTCGTTATATATATATATACTAGGTGGTCCAGACTAAATAGAAGTATCAATAAGACTGTAAAACTCTGATATATGTCAATTTTGTGGGAATAAATTGTGTTATTTTTTGTTTTATTCGATAGCATTTTGAAGAACCAAAAAATAAAATTATTCATTTTATTTGCCTTGAAAAGTTCTATCTTTTAGATGCAGTTCAAAATTTTCCAGATGAAAACATGAACTACAAAAAGATAATTTGTTTTTCTTAATGAAATTTCCAAAAACCTTTATTAGATATGAACAATTTTGGACGTTTAGAAAAATTCGTAGAAGTCGAGGGTGGGTGTGGGTGTGGGTGTGGGTGGCTGGTGGGTGTGGGTGTGGGGTGTGGGTGTCTGTGTGGGTGTGGGTGTCAGTATCGGGTGTCTGTGTGGGTGTGGGTTTGGCTGTGGGAGGGGTGGGACGGGTGTGAGGAGAAGTTGAACACCGGCTAACACCTCCAGCTGTACACCCACACCCACAGCGTACTGCGCACAAAAAATCCAATAGCGCTGAATAAGACTGTTTCATGTGTCTTGCTAATTAAAAATACCTACCAACTGAGTCATTGTTGGTCGTGGCATGAAACCTTTACACTTTTCCCCATCCGAATATTGATCGAAAAATACGAAGTCATTGAAGTGTCGATATCTTCTGCTCTTGTTCGAAAGAATAGAATTTATTTCTGATACAAGCAGCGAGAGAGAGAGAGAGAAAGAAAGAAAGAAAAACAATCGGGTGTTATTCTACGCAAAAAAAGGAGTCAGTCACGTTTGATTTTTCATTTGACGACGAACGCGTTCTTCTGCAAAGTGAACAGGCGAAGGTGAGCGTTCAAAATGTACAAAGATGTTATACATTTTATTACTAGAATGATTTTTTACCCTCCTCCATATCTTTGGTCACTCGATCTACATTTGTTTGTTACATAAAAAATGACTCTTCTGCTCGACAGATCGTTTCGGAACATATTTCCTGTAAAAGATCTGAGTATGCAGAGAAAACATAGGCGTTTGTCCATAGTCGAACGATTATGAATAGCCTACTATTCTATTAAACAGGATCTTTTATGGAACTCACATATGTTTTCGAAGAAAATAGTGAGTGTCAATTTTAAGTTCAAGTTTTCCGGCTCCGCCTCCATTACAGACAGCTCCCCATTACAGACGTGGGGAACCAGGATTAAATAGTGGATGTATATAACAGCCGTATTTGCCATTTAATTCAATGCTTATAACAATTAAAATGTTAAATTAAGAAAAAAAGAATTACGAAAATGAAAAATAGCGAGCGAATAGGCACAATAAAAAAAAAATAAAGACGCCGGTCAGAAAAAAATAATAAAACAATTCTTGATTTTACAGTTTACGTATTTCGTGTTAGTAAAATGAAGCTGCAGAATATATTTGAGTTACTCTTAGGATCCTTGATATCTTTTATTTTTATTGATGATGAACAAGGAAAAGCCTAAGCCTTTACAAAAAAAACAGCAAGATCAGAAAATAACCAAATGAAAAGAAAAAAAATAACAATGAAAAATAAAAACAAAACAAAACACGACGATGACTAGCTATATATATTTTTCACCAAAAAAAAACAACAACAACTGACTCAAAAAATGTACTGAAAGATGATCGACTAGATAAACAAAAAAATATTAAGGAGGATCGGCCATCTATATAAAATAGAGAGTGTGGGTGTGGACGTGGGTGTGTGGGGTGTGGGTATGGGTGTGGATGTGATTGTGGGTGTGGCTGTGGTTTTGGGTGGTGTAGGTGTGGGTGTGGGTGGGTGTGGGTGTGGGTGGGTGTGGGTGCGGGTCTTATTTTAAACTTCATCTACATCCACACCCGCACACCCACACCCCACCCACATTCCACACCCACACACCCACGCCCACATCCACACCCACGCCCACACATCCCACACCCACACACCCCACCCACACACGCGCCCACACCCCCACGCTCACACCCACCCACACCCACACGAACACCCACATGCACCCACACACCCACACCCACATGCACCCACGCCCACACACCCACACCCCACCCTGCACCAAGAGAGGGCGCCACATATGTCACCCCTTTTTGAAGAACTTTTGATACTATATTTTGAACTCATCATGTGATTTAATAATTTTGGTAATAATAGTTTTTCGGATCCTAGTCCGGTTTAAGAGATCATCACTGATTGGTCGCTAACTATGCACGGAACTTATTATCAAAGTCAAAACAATGATGAGCATGAGTAACATGAAGATGCTTTCACCCAATCATGTTAAAAAAATTACTAACGACACCTAGCGAAGCTTTTGAATGTTACTTTTTTATAAAAAACCAAAATTACCATATGATAGAGAAAATTTTTCTCTATCTACTGATACCTAAGTCATATTTGGCCCTTCCACAAATCGAAAATCACCAATCATGTTGGACTCGCCTTTGTTTCTCCTATTTCATTATGCTCTTTGCCGTGTGGATCCGTCCTACTTGTTTATTATTAAGATCATTTTTTTCAATTCTAAAACAACAAATGTCTTCGATAGATTCGATTATATTCGATCTATCGAATGATAATGCCCAAAATATTCGTGTTCTTGGTCTTGCTGATATTAATATACAATTACAAAGTAATATTAAATTTCATTTAAATAGAATTCTGTTTTTTTTAATGTAGATATATCACAAGATCAAGAACAAAAACAATTAATTGATATATTTCCAATTTTCTACAGTATTGTCATGTAAGAATTTTCCCTTTCTTCTTATTTTTCAATAAGATTGTTTTGTTTTTATAGTCATTTTGATAAAGTATCGATTACTGGACGTTCTCAAGCAGTTGAAATCTTACTTAAATGTAAGAATTCTTTTATATATATGTTTTTAATAAAAATTGTTATTAAAATAGTAATATCACGTGAAATGATTGAAGTTCAAAGACAAATTCATATTGGTCTTTCAATTGATGATCGACGTTTTCATTTAAATATTATTAAAATGCTTTCATATCTTGTTACTGAATATATTATTCGATTTGATAATGATCAAACAAATAAATCATCAGATTTTGATATGCCTCCACCGAAAGTATAATTTATTAATGAATTTATTTTATGAAAATAATTTTATTTATTTATTATAGAGAAGCAAAAAAGCTAAAGAATCGAAAACTAATGGAAAATCAAGTTTAACATCGGATTCATTAAGAGATAAATGTTTAAAAGGTCTTTGGAATATTCTTCAATCATCTATTAAACCCTTATGGGATTCATCAATTATTGATCAACAATTTGTCAAGTGAATAATTATTTCATTTTTATATATTTAATCATAAAAATTTTCTTTAAAAGATGTGTAACTAAACCATGTTATCATTTACTTCGTCGAAAAGATATTTCAAAAAATCCAATTGTTAAAGAAAATCTTCCATTAATTCTTACTATTATGATTCATCAATTTGAACATGCACCAGGTTAATTTAAATAAAAATCAATTCAATAAGATTACTTTTGATTAAAAGCGTCTATTCAATTTAGTCAAGCAGTTAAACATTATAATAATAATTCAAGTTTACTTACAGCTGTTCTTAATTCACTTTTGGTTGATTATCAAGATACATTAACTATTCAAGTATTAAAGTTTGTTTTATTTATTTAATATTGATTTTTTTTTAAAATAAAAGTATTCATTTAAAGAAATTTGTGAAACTAATTTTGATGGTACACAAGCTGATAATGAATCTACTAAAACAATGGCAACATTTATTATTGATATGGCTAGACTTGATCCACATATTATTCGAACACATATTGATCAAATAACTGATCTATTAACAGCTGAAGTAATTTTTGAAAACAAACTAATTCTTCTATCTTATCTTTGACAGAAATCAAAGATACATATTCAACAATCCAAAGAATTTTGTGTTCACCGAGTCTCAGTTCAGGTCCAGATTTTGAAACTTTTACTGATAAGGTTAGGTCCAAGTTCGGGTCGAGTCTGGGTCCGCTTCGGGTCCAGAAATTCTTGGATCCGACGAGCTCTAACCTGGACGCGATCGGATGAGAGTCTGAAAATTCCCTGTGGACTCGGTCCGGGTCAGAATCCGACTAGACAGTTGCTATTTTAAAAGTAATAGTCAACTAGAACTTTATTCTTATGAGATGATCGTCAAAATTTCTAGAAAAGTGTATAGGATATGCTAATCGCTGCTTTTAAATAATTGAGAAAAGTATTTTTATATCAAGTTTGGATTAAAGTGTTTTATCGGGAATATTATGAGTATGGATCGGGTCTGAAAATGTCTCAGGTCTGGATCCAGAAATTTTGGACCCAACGGACTGTACTTGAGAATCAATATAAATTATTTCTTTGTTTTAGAATCATCATATTCGCGTTGCTGCTTTAACAGCATTATGTTCTTTTATTGAAAAACTTCTTTCATCCGATGACTTAGATGATGGACAAAGAAAAATGCGTGATGATCTTTTACAAATATTACGTGTAAGTTCATTTGATTTTTATTTCAACAAATTATGTTTTTTTTTTTGCTTCAAATATTAAATTAGGAACATATATATGATATAACAGCATTTGTTCGTCAACATTGTTTACAATTATGGACATCACTTGTTATACAAAAAAAAGTTCCTGTTAGACAATATCTTCGAGTATTTGAACTCGGACTTGATCGATTAAGAGATTCAGATTGTGTAGGTCGAAAAGATGCAGTAACACTTGTTATGCATATGATTCTTAATAATCCTTATTTTGGTTTTGTAAGTTTATTCAATTAAGATTTTTTTTTTTGTATTTTGATAATAAATTTTTCTTTGTAGGGCTCAACTCGAGCTCAATTTGAAAAAGGACAAAATGATGCTGAAACAAAATTAAGTCAACTTCATCAAGAACTTGAAAATTTAAATAAAAAAATAGAAGAAAAAAAGCCTCAATCTGATGATGAAGATAGTGAAGCAGAAGATAAAAGTATTGATGAAGATGATGAAATGAATGTTGATAATAATCAAGTAAATATTTAAATGAAAAAAGTTTTTTAATAAAATTACATTGTTTTTTTTTCTTAAATAGAAAAAAGAAATAGAAGAAAATAAAGAATCAAATGAAGATCAATCACTTCAAGAAACTTTAAATCGTGTTAAAATTGAAGAACAAATAATGCGTGTAGAAGAAATTTTTGCTTTGTATGAAGTAAACAGTTTTTTTTAATTACAAATTTCTTTTTGGTTTTTAATGAATTTCTTTTGTTTTTAGGATAGTCTTCGATTTATGGATTTAATTGAACAAGCAAATCGACATGTTGTTAATTTATTTAATTCTCCAACAGTAGCTGATTGTAAAGAAGCTATTCATTTTTTTGTTAATCTTCGTCATTATCGTCTTATTTTGCCAAATATCGAACAAAATTCACGTTTAATGTTTAGTCTTATTTGGTCTGTTGATAAATCAATATGTGAAGCAATTACACAAGCTTTTGTTAAAATTTATTTTGATGTATCACCAGCTATTGCTCCAACGTATGTTTGTTTTAGATTAACATGTCAATTTCTAATGAATTAATTTATTTTTTAGAGATATTCCTTTGCATCAAGCTCGTGGAATAATTCGTGCTCTTAAAAGTGCAACATTTTCTGAAGAATTATGTTTTGAAGAAATTCTTAAACAATTAATAAAAGAAGAAAAAATTCTTCCTAAACCTATAACTGAAGTTTTATGGAATTTTTATGAATCTCCATCAGATGATAATACTGATGTTATTGCTAGAAAAATTCTTACATTTGTCGTTGGGTAAAATTCATTTTTTTCTTTCGATTTATTTAATTATATAAAAAATTTTAATAGAAATGAAATTGATTCAAAACCAAATGGTATAATTGGTCTTATTCAAGCTAAAGAAAAAAATTATAGTTTTGTATATGTATCTTGTTTGCTATTACAATTAGCGGCTACACCGAAAAAGGTTTGTTTTTGTTTTTTTAATTTAAATATTTATTTAATATTGTAAAAAAGATTGAAAATGATGTTCGACCAAAACAATTTCGTTTACCAAAAACTCATCTTGTATTCGAAATTCTTGGCGATATTATTGTTTCAAGTAATATAAAAAAAATCATTATTTCGTTTTAAATCTTATGGATTTTTTAGCATTTGATAATGTTTATGATCGACAATGGACACCAATGATGGAATCAGCATTTGATGTTATTTTTAAATTAGCGAATGGTCCAATAAAACATATTGAAAATATAATAAATAAACTTGCTGTTAAAACAGGTGTTAAACCTGGTGGTTTATTTAAAATTTCATTATCATCTCAATCACAACCTTTATCTGTTGAATCAATGGATTTTGAAAGTAAAAATTTCATATATTTTTTTGTTTTCATTTTCAATTTAATTGATTTCTTCAGATGCTGGTAATGAGAATAATCAAAATCAATTATCTCAACAACATCATCATCATTATTCTCAAATAAATGCAAATTCAGCATTATTATTAGTTCGTTTGTTAAATTGCTTAGGAAAAACTGCTATTGGAATTGTTTATTATGTTGATTGTACTGTTAAAGATGAGCTTCTTCGTCGAAAAGAAGCTAAACAATCAGCTCCAGTTAATAAAAAATTACAGAAAAAAAACGAACAAAACGCAAAACGCCAGATGATGATGAAAATCAATCAACATCAATGAATGAAACAACAAATAATTTATCACATCTTACTGTATGATGAAAGAATTATTTCAATTATTTATTATAATTTCTTTTTCTTTTTTTGATTATTTAAGTTGAATTCAACAACTAATCGAACTGTTGATGATGAAATGGGTCAAGTATTTGGTGGTGCTGAAGCTGAAGATTCAGTTGATAATGAAATTAAATCATATATTGAATCATTATGTGAAGAAAATTCATTATTAATGCAATATAAAAATATTTTTAAACAAGTAAATATATTTTCTTTTTCAATTTAAACTAAAAATTTTCAATGAAATAAATCCTAAGAAATCCTATAAATCATAAACGTTAATTTTATTGAAATTCTTCTGTTTGTTTAATTAAGATTCTTCATCAAAATGAATATCATGAAGAAACATTACATTTAAGTGCAACAATATGTTTATGTAAATTTATGTTATTATCTGTTAAATTATGTACAATACATGCAGAAATGTTATTTGATTTATTAAAACATTCGACATTTGAAAGTGTTCGAGTTGCTATTTTGGTTTTAATGAATGATTTTTATTTAAAGTAAAACATTTTTTATTAAACAAAAATCAAATAAATAGATTTTCTTTTAAAGATATCCATCATCATTTGATGCTTATTTAAATGATGTTTATAATTGTTTACATGATCCATCAGATAATGTTCGTTTAGTAGCATTAAAAACAATATCAAATTTAATTCTTAAAGAAATGATGAAGGTTAGATTATTATTCAACAAAGAATAAACTCTTATATTTATTGGTTTATTTAGCCAAATGGTCGAATAAGTGGAATAGCATTATGTATTATTGATAAACATTCTGAAATAGCAACATTAGCTACATCATTTTTTAGTGAATTCGCTAAACGTCAAGATGGCCAAACATTATTTAATACTTTACCAAATATTTGTGCGAATTTAGTTGGTGGTGGATTAGATAAAGAACGGGTGTGGGTGTGGCTGTGGCTGTGGCTGTGGGTGGGTGTGGCTGTGGCTGTGGGTGGGTGTGGGTGGGTGTGGCTGTGGCTGTGGGTGGGTGTGGGTGTGGGTGTGGGTGGGTGTGGCTGTGGCTGTGGGTGGGTGTGGGGGTGTGGGTGTGCTGGGTCTGAGTTTGGTGGGTGTGTCCATTAATGTGGATGTCGTGTTGGATATTGGGATTGTTGTGGGTGTGGAGATGACCCAAAAGAAACCCAACAAGCACATCCACACCCTCACACCCACCCACACCCACACCCTCACACCCACCCACCCACCCACACCCACCCACCCACAGCCACACCCCCACACCCACCCACACCCCACACCCACCCACACCCACACCCTATGAACTAAGTCTACTGATAATGATGATGCAGCAATTCTATTTAGTAATTGTTCTAGTTGTTAAAAAAAGGATTGGTTACTATATCTAGTTCTTAAAACAGAATACGTTCATAGAAGTGGCAGTTGTCACATGTCTAGAGTTGATCTGTTTGAACAGTTCAGTTATTCGATCGTGAACTATCACAGATCAGGTCTATCCCGATCCCCGGAGAGTTTTTTTCTTGTGGTCTCAATGATCGGACCTGGGGCTACGATTGGTCCCGCACATCTCTCTTTAAGACTATGTGCATTGTGTAGATGTAAATGAGCTATGAATACTCTGAAAAGAGCTCATGTCATTAGCTTATTGCAGTGGAGATTCTGCACTTTTTAAGTGAATGCCGTGACCCTCCTCAAGAAAAAAACTCATTTTCGAATTTCAACTTGAAATTTTGCATAGAGACAGGTCTTATCTAGAATAGTTTATTATGAAAGTTTCAGATCTTATCATTGTTCCTATTCTAAGATAGAACTATGATAATAGTGTGTCTTTTATGTCACTCGTACAAACTGACAGATTTAATGTTCTTATTTTAGGATAGAAGTAAATCAAAAGACCTAAAACTTTCACAATAAACTTCTCTTGTTAAGGCCTATCTCTATGCAAAACTTCAAGTCGAAATTCGAAAATGAGTTTTTTTTTAGGAGGATCATGGCATTCATTTAAAAGGTGCAATAGCTCCGCAGCAAAAAGCTAAGGGCACAAACTCTTTTCAAGATATTCATAGCTCATTTGATTCTACATAATCTCGACTCAAAAGCGATTTATAAGTTAAAGTACTTCCTTCGTAAAATTCTTTTTATTCATAGCAAAATTTACTTCATTTTTTTGATTAGCTGTTCGTGCTGGTGGAACGAAGAAAGGTAAACAAACAACAAGTCGTAGTAAAGCAAAAGCAGCACAATGTAAGATTTAGTTTTTAAAGAAATAATAAAAAAACAAATGTTCTGAGAATTCATTTTAATTTTTAGCTGATGATGATGACGATAATGATTTAAAAGAAAATGCTGGTGATTTAAAACGACCAACGAGAAAAAAACAAAAATACAAACAACAAGTTGATCAAAACGTGGTGCGGCGGTAACTGCACGCAAAAAAGCAGCTGCAGTAGCGAGTGATGATGAAGATGATTATTAACTTTCTTTTTTTTGTCTTTTTTTTTTTTTTTCATATAACGATTTATTTGTGCCATTAGTGGTTCTCATTAATAAAAAATATAAGAAAAGAAAAGAAGAGAGAAAACAATAATAAAGACAGCTGGTTTGTTTCCAAAAATACAATTCATACCTCCCAATAGAAGGGAATAGAAAGGATTCTGCTAAAGGATAAATCAGTTTTGAATGGAGCACAAAAAGTATTTGTAAATAAACAAATTGAGTTGTTTAGTATTTCTTTCGAAATGGTTTATTTGTTGTTTGTGAATCTGTTCAAAATTGTTCCAGTCGTTTAAGGAATGTTTAGCGTTTTGTTGTAACCTAGTTAGGAAACGATTCCTTTTATTCAGTCCCATGCTTCTGTACCATCTTTGATCAGAGGTTTTTATGATATTATAAGCTCGCCATGATTGTTGAAAACATAATGCATCAGGTGATTGTGCGAGATGTATGGTAAATCTGGACCAATAGGCATATAAATGATCGAGAAGAGATTTTTCTCTACTCAGTATAAGGGTGGTTTCATCATCCCATTTTGATAATGAAAACACACATCTTATACCAGAACAGTAAACATGTTCTATATATCTCTGCTGTTTGTCGGTAAAGAAAAACCATATGGAAAATAACCATATAAAATATGGCATGGCGAAGGCAGAAAAAATTCTTTTTCTCATATTGATTTTTTCTTTTGGGATGTTATAGAAAAGTATTTTCATTCCCTGATAAACTTTTCTTATTTTTTGTATTCTTACACTAATGAAGTTGCCCCATCCTAGTTTAGTGGAAATTGTTATTCCTAAATATTTGAAACATTTTACATATCGATTTGTTGTCCTCTAAACTCTAGTTTCGGTTTTAATGGAGCGACTACATTATGCACCAGAAGGACTTTTGTTTTATTCACATTTATAGGGAGAATATTATCATCGGCAAAGATTCCTAATTGTTCTAGTACGAATTTGGCTCTCATTTCTAATTCAATAATATTTAACGAGAATTGTTTTTCTAAGGCACCTGAAATCTGAATAGTTAAATCATCAGCAAACATATGTGATGTCAGTGAGAAAAAGTAAGATGGCAAAAATGCACATGAAGCCGAAATAGGGTGGCTGCAAGAACTGAACCTTGAGGTGCACCAACACCCATAGATATAGTACGTGAATGAACTTCACCAAAATGAATTGAGAGTGTTCTTTCTTGCAACCAGTTATAGATCCATTTCAGAAGGGGTATTGGTAGACGGGTGTGGGTGTGTGGGTGTGGGTGTGGGGTGTGGGTGTGTGGGTGTGGGTGGGTGTGGGTGTGGGG